GGTTTGGTGGGGTTAGGGTAAGGTTTTCGCGTTAATCTTAAATTTACCGCTCACAGCGTGCCGTTTTCGTTGCGCTGTGATGACGTCACGTACGCGCTTTTGTCGAGCGCGCTTTAGTCTACCGCGGATTTGTGGTGGAACCGCATATAGATATTAGAAACTGATGAACATCTGGGGTACTACATATACATATTAATCTGCATTGCAAAATTAATTTTGATTTCATCCTCAAATCAGTGTAGTCTTTTCAATCCTTTTTTTGCAAAAAATATGGCCATTGTTAACGTAAAAGCAAGGATGAAGCTGAGAACCCTTGCGTATTGTATACCCAAATTACGTAGGCATGACTACTCTGTTCAATGTTTAGAAAACCAAAAATCAAACCAATGGAAAATGCATAGTAAAATTTCATAGGCCTTCTTTTTGGCAACTTTACCCACCTGCAATGACAAATAGGTCTTAGCGTGCGCTTATGAGTTGATAATGGAGAAATACTATTCCCTAAATTTAGTTTTAATTGCTCTAACTGCAAGACTTTGAAATATAGCTTGAAAGAAATTGTATCAAGACCGGATGCACTGAGGAGTTAATAATATCCATGAATCGAAATAAAATGGTTGGAAACGCTTAGAGAATAAGGACTACTTTGTTTATGATCCAACCCTGTGTTAAAAGTATTTTTACCCATTAATATCCATAAATCTATATGCATTAAACTTCCTACTCGGTAGAGCCGCCACTTGTTGTCTTTATAATTTCGGTCTTTTGAAAGATTTGAAGGCAGCTTTCAATATTATAGGATTAGGGTTTGGCACTTCTGTGATAAGCAGGTAGCATAAATGTGCATTTGGAGTGTGAATTAGGCATATATCAAAACCATTCCTCTGAAATCATCTATACCCCTTCACTTAAAATACAGAAATAAAAATGCTGCTTTGCAAACATACAAATAATATAATTGTCTGTATAAAACATGCTGAAACTCGAACATGAATTACAATCACAAATTTGTAATTCACAATTATACTAGTTGCGTATATTTCTTAGCACTAATTCTGATCAATTCTATGGCATTCAGTGCGTGTTTCCTAGATATTTTCCTTTCAATGTGAACCTATCTCTGAACTTTATGTTCTGAAAAGCCTGTGTTTTTATTTATCTTACGAACCAGATTAAATGATGGTAGTCATGCTGACTGGGGAAAAAAATGTCAGTAGTCATATTTTAATTTGCTACGTAAGTTCGCTAGAACTGCATATCCTGCCCAACGGAAGAGCAAAGTAAGGATGTCTTCAAATAAAGGATATTTTATGGTGCTGACATCCAGGGGTTGCCAGTATGATTAATATGTCTAATCAGAAATAAATTTGATCAAAAAGTTTGAAAAGGACAATTGCATTTCCTTCTTTGACCATATTGTAAGATCTCAATTTCTGGGAGAGAAAGAAAGTATTAGAGCGATAGAATAAAATGAGGCTGCAATTAAGTGCAAAGAGGCAGGGGCCGAAAGCAAGTGCGAGAGGATTCCTTGACTATACGATCGGTTTCCAGCCATTACGACTAGGTCATTAAGGCAGCCAAGGCAGGTAACTTGCTTATTAGATGCCTCTCCAGTTTAATCCATCACTAGCACACACACACACTCTCACACATACACACGCACATTACCTTCTGTGTCTTGCATATTTGCCACTAACATGACCACTGCCATCACAGCCAGGAGTAGGGCAGCTATAAAAAAAACGAATTAATTATAAATGTTTCTACGTGCTGCATAGAAATTGCATTAAATGCAGGCGATAGGTGTTACAGAGATGGAGGGCAACAAAGAGAGAGGAAGAGAAATCAAATAACTGAAGGGAGAAGGGAGGAGGGAAGGCTTTTTATTAGCAAATCCCAGGGGAATTAATTTCATCAGTGCAGCGGGGCGTGAGCAAGCCACCAATGAACTTGAAAGTGCATTATACCCATTAAAAGACATGAATTCCCTCAATTGCTAATGGGGATACATTTTACACTCAGCACACTAACCTGAAGAGTTCTTGTATGGCTGGTTCCACGGGAACTGCAGAGAGAGGGAAAACATATAAAAATTTATGATCTATTACAAGTCCTCCCCCCTCCTGCCGAAAATTGCCCAAAAGGGCCGTAAAAAAGCCAGGGTCACCGTGCATCGCGGCAAAGGGGTTCTGGAGGATGAAGGTCACCCTGAGCAGCGGCCTTGAGTGATTTACTGAAGCAGGAGACGTACCTCGAACACCTTTGGAGCGTGTGCGATGGCGCTTCTCGTCTGCCTCCACCTCCATCTGGGAATAGATTAGCAGGCAGTCAAGGCTCTTATCCTGCACGCACAGACTGTCAATGCACAGACAGATACAGGCTCTCATGCACAATTTATTGACAATATTTTAATTCCATTTTATCCTGCAAGTAAACAGCCTGCACTGAAGGGGATTTCCCCCCCCCCAAAAAAAAGCTCTCAATATTTGTTTGAGAACAAAAGCCCACAGGGTAATTTCTTACGTTAACTGTCTGTGCTCCCTTTCACAATTCTTTCATGCATTTTTTTAAAAAAGAAAAAAACAGTAGATTCCTTGAGCCCCACTTTCTTTAATATCAACCCAACATTGGCAGAATATAACTGATTTCTTTGAAACATGAAACTGAGGTTGGTTCTCTGCCATACTGATTTTTTTATTATTTTTTTGCAAAAGAAGAAAGGAGAAACATAATGAGATATTGAGATTTGATATATCTTCTGGGTTTCTACTACAGGAAAAAGAAAGAACATGTCTACTATAAATATCTAAATAAATTATTATTTATATATCTACCATATGCATTGTAAATAATTTAAAAGTAAAATGTTTTCCATTTTGAATTTATAGAAAATCTAAGGCTTTCTGTTTAGAAATTCCACTCATCACAAATATCAGTGCACATTCTATTCTTATCAGCATAAAAGTATGACTGGGTTGTCGTTAAAGCTCATAGCAGATTAAAGATGACTGTACATAGATGATTGGCCTTTTAAAAGAAAACACTCATTACGGCTCATTTTGACCAGTTTAAAATTATTTTAAATACCAGACTTAATAGTTCACCACCAGAGAGGCTGTTTTGAAGGCATTGAGTGTAGCAGTTGGCTGTTATGCTGTACTACCTAATCATTATGTTTTACCACTATTTGTGTTCCAACTATGCAAAAATTTGAGAGGCTGCTTTGATTTGAGAAAGCATTGGTCAAATTCCACTGGAGCAGGTTTGCACATTAAAGTATAGTGATTGGTAGGATTCTGGAACATTTTGCAGATTTGATGGCTTTCCCATTGTTTCAGGAACGATTACAATGCTTCAATTAAACTAATACCTATGGCCAATGCATAATGGTGTGGTGGGTGTCTTGACATTTATTAAAGAAGCCTGACAATGAGATTGAAATTATGACTTGTTAAACTCTAAGCTTAACAATAGATGACAATAGTTTAACCTTGATTTGGGTTCTCAGCATCTTGATTGCAAGAGCTGCAAGTGTTGAATTTTGTTTTTCTACTGAAATGTTTCCTCTTTGTGCTGGTCCAGCCAATACAACTAAGAGTTCATCTCACTCTCAGCTGTTTTAATAAGGGCTACAGGATTGGGAGAGTTTTAAATCTCTTCTTAGGAAGTTAATGGGCCCAAGAGTAATCCTTAAAGGCACTTCCCAAACCTTTACAAGAGGGATAGTGCAGTTATAAATTCTAACTTCTACTTGCCAAACCTTTTTCCCTCTTCTTGCCTTTCTCCAAGGAATCGCAACATTCTGCATTCTGGAATAGCGATGAAAATAAATGTGTACAGGCAGCCTTCTACTTGCAACCCTTCATGTAGTCACCACTCAACGTTACAACAGCACTGAAAACAAAAGGGACTTATGGCCACTTTCCACACTGAGGACTGTTGCAGCATCCCCCCCCCCCATGGTCATGTGATCCGAATTTGAGTACTTGGCCACTGTTATGTATTTAGGGGAGCTGCACTGCCCAGGGGCCACTTGATCGCCATTTGTGTGACCTTCCTAACTGGCTCCTGACAAAGTCAATGCGGAAAGCCAGATTCACTTAACAACCATGTGGCTAATTTAACAATTGCATAGATTCACTCAACAACTCTGACAAGGAAGGTCGTGAAACGAGCTGCAATTCACTTAACAACTGCCTCACTTAGCAACAGAAATTTTGGGCTCACTTGTTGTAAATCAAACATTATCTGTATCTTTCAAGGCTATTAAAAGTGCTTTGTCCCAGCGGGTTGATAACTTAGCATTTACACATATTGTCTGCTGTGCTAGTTCAATAGTTAAAACCTGATGTCTCAAACATCCAGCCTTATTTTCTCTATTTATTTATTTATTTTGTTCCCTCTCCCTGATTTTTTGCATCTCACCTGGTTAAATGCCCTGGACAACTTAAAAACTTGTACAATTATATAGGACTTTAAAGGTCCTGAAAAATTAATAATTTATTATATTGCATGGATTAAGATTTTTTTTGTACAATGATCAAAATTATGTTTTCTGAGGAAAATAAGAGCTGAACAATTTGGTGATTCTCAAGAGCTCACAAACTCCTCTAAAGCTGAAATTAATTGCCAAAGTTGGCACAGTGTTAAGAACACCACCTTCTGCTTTGTAACTAAGAGAACGTTATTTACAAACATTGGGAACGAGAATATCAGAACTAAAATGCAAAAAGAGGTGTTTCTTTCTACTGTAAAACCGACAATGTAGGTGTAATTTTTCAGTGGTTTGCTAGGCCTTAACCAGGGATTTCAAACTTGCATTGTCACAGCGGTGTCATGTGACTGGCTCCCCATTGGTCTCCGAACACGATTCAAGGTGCTGGTTATCACCTTTAAAGCCCTACATGGCCTAGGACCNACTGGTGGGGAGGGGGGGAGAGGGGGTGGTTCTGTATGAATGTCAGGGCAAGCGCATGCACACACCGCTCCATTTGCACCAGCAGCAGTTAAGGGTGTGAGCGGTGGGCAGATGTGCCTGCTGCTCATGCAAATGGAACATGCATGGACACGCTTGCTGCATCTGCGCCCCACTTCCAAAGGGCTCACGGCCCCGTAGTGGACAGCAGGCCAGGGGTTGGGGACCCCTGTGCTAGAATATAAATGGAGAGCAAACTCCCCTCCTCACTAGCACTGATGATGATGATGATGTTGCCTAGTTTGGGTAATGAAACATCTGAAGAAAAGAACTCAACGAGCATCAAAGGCCCCTCATTTCAACCCTAAATTACACATATTCTCTTTTATTGGTACAAGCAGTTGTAGCATAATTATATTGCATTAATATGACATTCTATTCTATTCTGTATCACACATACACGCACCAATCATCTTATAGCACTCCTTTGAAAGTCAGGGAAATATTTACAGCAGATGAATGGTTAAGAGAGAAAGCGTCAGCATTTTCTACCTATGCTACACTCTATATAAAAAAATGTGCATAATAATGTAGCTACTATTTTGCACATGTTTTTCCTTCAATTGCACAAGTGCAGCCACCATCTTGATGCCCCTTGGATGAAAACGGTGTTTTCAAATGGGTCACAGGCGTAAGACTTCAGTCCCTTTACTTTACAAAAAGACAATGAAATAACCTTTAAAAAGTCTTTGAAGTGACATTATGCTAAGCCACAATGTTGCTTGATTTCCGTTAAGGTTTGTTCTATGAAACTGGCAGTTTAAAAACTGTTGTTAGGAAGACTTTCAGACTGATATCAATGTCTGAATGATGTATTGGGTGCCACAGCCCAACAAGTATAATAAAAATGTATTAAATTAAACATACCCACACTCCCCCACCTATCCCCCCCCCACATTTCATCCCAGGGTTTTCATGAGTTTTCAGTATAGTTCAAGAGAGTATATCAGAGTCCTCCTCCCCCTTTTAGCTCACCTGGAAGGCCGCCTAGCCAAATCTTTCTTTAAAATTAATATTAAAATATGTATATCCTGCCTTCTGATTTATAATATCATTGACAAATAGTAAAAAATACAGGCAAGTCCTAAACTTTATGGATGGAGCGATGGCATGCACAATGATGCCTCATAAAGAATAGGGCGGGAGGTGGGAGTTATTTATCTGTGTGGACTCCAGAACATACAGATCGGCCGCCTGCGTGCCCAGAATCTCTCATAAACATCCCACCGCGCATTGCATTATACAGCCGCCATACATTAATTAGAGCATCCGACAGACACTGCAATGTGTTACACTCACCCAAGTGGAATCTTCATTTTTCACATGCAGGGCCTTACTAATTAAAATCAGCTTTGCAATTAAATGTGGAAAATTGTGTTAAACTTTCGAGCATGGTTTTAAGGGGGTGGGATGGAGAGCGGGGAGAAGGGGGCAAAATCAAGAGGAAGGGAATCATTTTTTAGAAAAAAAAATCATTTCTTTATTTTCACGCAAATGAATCCCTCTTCACACACACACCCCCAACCCCCATCAGAAGACAAACCGGGGAAAGAGAAGGGATGAGGATTTCCCCCTCCCCGTTGCTTTCTCCCCCCACCCCACCCCCTCTATTATACATGCTTCCCTCTCTGTTGCAAAGGCAACGTTCCGCTCTCTCCCTGCCAGTCCTTGGCCCAGTTCCAATGCTTTTAGTGAGTGCTATGTGTCAAGGCATGAATAATACAGCCTCGAGGCTGTCGGCAGAATCCAAATGAGGCATACATCAGGAAGCAAGCCCTCGACTTTAGCTCCAGAACATGCTCCCGTGAAGACAGGCAATTATTCACCCCCGGCTGCAGTCATGGCAATCAAACCAGTGGGTGAAAAGGTATAAGAAGCACGGGGGGGGGGAGGGGGGGAAGAGGAATGGGCAGAGAGAACTAGGCGATTCTCGAATAAGAAAGGATTTTCTCATCAGAGAGATACATTCAGCTAACACTTAAGAGGATGCTAGTGCAAACACAGCCATTCTATTTCACTCCATTCTTTATTCAGAGAGTTAAATGGATCAGTATTTACTTTTGAAAATCAGTTTTTCGCCCACTTCCCTACCCTCTTCTTAAAAAGCCTAAATAGAAGGAAAGAGGGACAGGGTTGGTTAAATAAAACGTTTGATTTTTAAATAATTAGTAAGGTGATTCTTGTTGATTAAAAAGGGTGAAATGGGCCACAAAAATGTCCTGGGGGAAAAGGCTGAAAAAAGGATTTCCAAAGTGGCAAAGAAAAGGAATGGTTATGATTTCCTCCCTCTTCCTCTCATCCTTTTTTAGAAGTCTGGATGTGAATTCCTGA